CTCTCTTGGTAAATTCTTTCGATGTACACAGGTGATTTATCTTCAGTAGATCCCACTCATCCATTTGTGACTACTCTGTACTTGTGCCCTTCCCTATTTCTGATAGCCTATGTATAATATGCTGATTTCTACAGGTAAATAAAAAAGAAACTTCTTTAGCATCATGTGAATGTACAGATTTAGTAACAAGTCAGATGACAAGTCCAAGCCAAAAGTGACTGAGATTGCAGTGTTTGGAAGTTCAGGCTGTGATGAGGAAACTGAGTGCGGTGAAGGGTTATGACAGTCAGAGCTGTCCAATTTTACAGAGTTCATGGGAAATACTTAATTTTAGGTCATCAAACCATGGTGAAGATGCTCCTTTAAATACAAAATTATTTTTCAGATGCCTAGACACTTTTAAATAACTTTTAAAAGTTATTTACATAAGGGTATTATAATAGTTTAGGAGAATCCTGATCAGAAGTGGAGGAATGCAGAGCAGATTTTAAAATTCTGTATTTTCAGGAGCCATGGAGGCTGGCAGAAACCCTGAAAGGATTGCCCTAAGTTCATCTTTAAAATATAAACCAAAAGGCCCCTGTAGTCTTTCTAACACTAAACAGTCATTGACTTAAGTAGTAAAGAATGTCTGCCTTGAGTATTATTCTCTCTTTTTAAAAATCATTTTACTGGGGGCTCATACAACTCTTATCACAATCCATCCATCCATTGTGTCAAGCATATCTGTACACTTGTTGCCATCATCATTTTCAAAATATTTTCTTTCTTCTTGAGCCCTTGGTATTGGCTTTTCATTCCCCCCCGCCCCTCATGAACCCTTGATAATTTATAATTTTTTCCCCATGTCTTACACTGACTGATGCCTCCCTTCACCCACTTTTCTGCTGTCCATCCCCCTGGGAGGGTGCTATATGTAGATCATTGTGATCAGAGTATTATCCTCTTCTAAGACCTATCAATACGGGGTCAAATTGACAACCCTAACTTGGAAAATTAGATAGTGTGTTAGTCTGGGTTGACTAGAGAAACAAATCCATAGATACTCATATGTTATAAGAAAGAGCTTTATATACAAGAGCAGTTGAATATTGAGAAAACATCCCAGCCCAGTCCAGATCAAGCCCATAAGTCTGATATTAGCATACATGCCCCATACCAAGCTATAAAGTCCTCTTCAGACTCACAAAACACATGCAATGACACCAAATACAGAAAGATCACAGGCCAGTGGGTGGGAAGTCTTGTGGATCCAGTGGCATTATAAGCACCTCAGCTCTGGCAGTGGTCTCCACGTGGCTTGTATGGCTCCATCAGCCTCTCTCCATGTGTCTTCTCCACAGCTATATCTCACAAGGAGTGAGCCAAAAGAGAGAGCATCTCCCACCTCCAAGAAGGAAATATCGGAGTTCCCCAGAATCCTCAGGAGAAGGCCATGCCCACACAGAGGGACTCTTTAGTTTATTAGAGTGCCTTACAAAAGTGGAGAGAGGAAAAAAAAAAGTTATGGTATGAGGGCTTATATCAGAACTCAAGTGGACATCTTCCCAAATCATTGACGCTTTGCAAAAAGTTTATAGAAATGCTGGCCACATAAGATGACAGTTTTTAAAAATAGAACAACTATTTTAAGGAAGTTCAGGAAGACCTCAAAGATGAGCCAAAACAGGACATAGTGTCAACCTTGAGTAATGAAGAAAGTGTTGCTAAAGTCCAGAAGCTGATGGAAGAAGCCTGGAGTTACCATTGATGCAACAGCAACTGAAAGTGGGGTTCGGCATGTTCAGTAGTCAGTGCACATCTCAGCCTCCGCAGACTTTCAGTTGGATGTCTACCTAAAGCAGGACTCAAAAGACCGGCTAGCTCCAAGTGTCAATCTGTGCATCGGTCTTTTAAGAAAGATTGAAGTTAAGACTGAATCCTAGCTGGGAACAAATCCTGATTCTCTAGTACAACGCAAGTACATAGTGTAGTCGCAAGTGGACTCCGCGGGTGACCTGCTGACCTTCCAGCGAGAGGCTTCAGCGCAGAAGGCCGTGGTGACTGCTGTTTGCAGTCCCTATAGGGTAGTCTTGGCAGACTCTCCTCAGAGAATACAAGATGATCATGGGAGCTTTTTATCAAGGAAGTTTCAGAAAAGTGAAAACCCGCACTGTTGAGACAAAGTCCAGGAAAGCCGTGCTGAGGAAATGTGTTTATCACAAGAACGCCTGCCCTTTTGAGGAGACCAAAGGCTGTGGACATTTCTTGGAGAAACCTTCTCCCATCTATCCAACATCCCAGATCTTGCCTCTTCCAACTTCTTTCTATTCCCAGAGATCAGAGAGCATTTGCAAGGAAGACAATGTGAGCCCACGGCTGTTTGGAAGGAAAGTGATGTGTGCGGGCAGGGAACCCTTGAAGGGTTCTTCTTTGAAGGGTCATGTGGCCGTTTGGGTAATTGAGAAGCATCGCTCCTGTTTTAGGGTGGAGTCTGGGTTGCTTATGTTCAGGACTAAAGGGGTACCGTTTAGGAGACCCTTCCAATAATCTGGCCAGGAGTTGATAGTGGTTTAGATAGGTGAGTGGCAGTGAAACTAGATGGGATGAGTAGAAAAGAGAGTATGAACAGTATTGGGTGCTTGGGTAAATGACCGTGTCTGTGGGAAGATGAGGGAGAAGGAAGGCTTCTGGTCACGGGAAGTGGGTAGATCCTGAATTTCTTTACTAAGGAATGGGAGGAAAGCAGCGTTGGGGATGGTGTAGGGGGTGATGTGAGCAACAGAACTGTTCCTCATGTTAACTGCCAAGGTTGCGGGAAAGGCTGGTCCAGTGGACTCATGGGAATGCCTGCGCATGATCTTTTCCAGGTCTTTCTACTTGAGAAGGCCGGGCTGAGATGTGGTGGTTTCAGCAAGGCCTCAGTTTCCTCCCTTCAGCCACCGTCATTTGGACCGCTGCTGCTTGCATCTTTTCGTACATTACTGCCATCACGCTCCATCACGTGGACCCTGCTTTGCCTTATATCAGGTGCGTGAAATGTATGTTTCTCGGAAGCTCCTGATTGTGTGTCTCATTCTAAATCTAACGTAGACCCCCATGTTTAATGTCAATGTTTGAAAACTGAGATTTTACATTGACATTCTAAAAATAAACAGAATTTTGAAAGGAGCTTATAAACTTTGCGCTCTCTATATAACATAGATTGGAAAACTTATTTGGCCTACAGCCCCATTTTACTGAGTAAAAAAAAATTACTCGGTAACCCCCTAACAATTAAAAAACGTGTTCTATAGTGAGGATAAAGTATAGGTAGCTGCTTTTGTAGCCCCACTGGATCATTCCAGCACCATGGGGGGGCGGGGGGGGGGGGGGGGCAGTATCACCCACCTTGGGAAACACTGTAAAAAGTAATAGCGCACTGGTGATGTAGTAGTTCAGCATCGGGCTGTGATCTACGTGGTAGGCAGTTCAAAACCACCAGTAGCTTTGCAGGACAAGACTGAGCTTTCTACTACTGTAAAAAGTTACAGTCTCAGAACCAGCATTGACTCAATGACAGTGAGTGAGTAATAAAGTATATAATAGAAAAATATGGAGGCAGAAAGATGCAGTTAAGGAATTGTGACACCGTAGTGGTTGATCCTCCAAATAAATATTTGAGGTTTTCTTACAAGATAGAGTTGAAATTACTTTTCCCTGAAAATTAGAAATTTTGCAAACACACTCAATAATATTAAGAGATACTGATAATGATAAACATTTATTGATCTATTTACTACATGCCAGATAATACTCTTAAGCATTCTGCATGTCTTCAGTAATTAAACTGTACAACTATTTGAGGTCAGAACTATTATCCTCATTTGAGAAAGGAGGAAATGAAGTCCAGGGAGGTCATTTACTCAAGAGCAAACAACTAGTAAAAATATTTAAGCAAGTCTCCAAATGACCATTTCCTATACAGTCGATCCCCACTCCTGGTGACCCCATGTGGGTCACACAAAAGTGGGCCCTCTTGGTTTTTTAGGGGCTTATATTTCAGTAGCCAAGATAGTTTGACTGTAGAGGCGATCTTCTTTTTATATCTTGCCTGGCCTAAATCTTTCGTCTACATCAAGTATTCAGAGTTTATCAGTAATATATTTAAAATTTCAAAACTACTAGTGATGGGAGTATGGCTACCGGATATGTGCTGTCCATAACAACTCCCTTTCTCTCCAGTGACGAGAACAAAGAAACAAGAAAGTGCACATTATAGCAGGGGCTTGTAAAAGCAAACGTGAGAGTCCTTTCCCACCCCGTCCAGTCCTTGCTGCCCAGAAATGAGTCATGGTTTGGTCAGTTTCCTTCCCAGAATTTGGTTTGATTTGTCTTCTTATATTTTACCCACACTCTTTCTCCCTCCCCTCCCTTTCCCTTTCCTTTCTCTCCCTCCTCCTCTTCCCCTATAACTTTTTTTTTTTCCCCTATAACTTTTTTTGAATCTTTAGTTTCATTTCAAAAGGTAATATAATATTGATAGATTGCTTTTTTTTTTCCTGTTACACACTGCTGTAATGAAGATACCATGGCATACTTGGCATACTTTTAACTTCTAGATGAAGTAAGCTCCTAGAAACAGGCTTGCTGGGTGGGTAATAAAACATCTTTTTGGAGGGGGGACACTGCCAGCTATCCCACTAAACTGGTTGCATCCATTTCTAGTCTCACAGAGATTATGAAAAAGCCAGGATCATTATGAATGGTTTCTGCCATTACTAATGTTTAACTTATTTATTTGTTTTATTAATCATTTTGTTAGGTGCTTTGCCAGATCTTATAACAATCCATAATTCAACTGTATCAAACACACTTGTACACATGTTGCCATCATCATTTCCAAAGCATTTTCTTTCTACTTGAGCCCTTGGTATCAACTCCTCTTTTATTCCCCTCCCTAACCCTCCTCCCCCCTTTGTGAATCCTTGATCAATTACATATTGTTATTTTGTATCTTACACTGTCTGTTATCTCCCTTCACCCACTTTTCTATTATTCGTCATCTTGGGTACGGGGTGTTATATAGCCAACTGTGGGGTTAAGGGGAAGAGGGAACCCCACAAAACATCACAGGTTCGGTAGGCGCAATTGTACAGCGATAATAAGTAGAGATTATAGTAAAGTCATAGAGAGCATGAGAGTTAAAGGATGGAGTCAAGTAATGGAGTCAGACGCAATTCATGGTAGCATAGCTCACCTCAGCCCCACTTGATGGTCCTCATGGAAGGGGCTCAGCCGTCAGAGAAGAAGCCACTGCTTCGTCCTCCTTAGTCACCTTCTCCAGCCACCCACCCGAGAACCAGGGAGCCTCCTTATTTATTGCTAACCACGCATCATAT